TTTTTAAATTCGCAAACACTATTGAATTTTGAACAAAAAATAAACATGAGAAGATTTTTTTTCATATGTGAACAAATTTTGAAACCATTTTTTTTTCAAATTGTGAACAAATTTTCGAACTTCCTGAACAGCTTTGAATTTGTGAACAACATTTGGAACATTTTTTTGAAATTCACATACATTTTTGCATTTGCAAACAAAATTTAAACATGTGAACAGTTTTTGTATTTGTGAACAAATTTTGGAAATGGGAACTTTTTTTAAACAAAATATTTGTTGTTTTGTGAATAAAACATTAAAAGGTGAACAGTTTCTGAAACGATGCGAACAATTTTTTAAAGCACGATTTTTTTTAATGTTGAGAACAAATTTTGAAATGGAGAACAAATTTGGAAGCTCGAACAGTTTTTGAAAGCACGAACATTTTTTGAATGTTGAGAACAAATTTAGAAATGGAGAACAAATTTGGAAGCGTGAACAATTTTTGAATGTTGAGAACAAATTTTGAAATGGAGAACAAATTTGAAAGCACGAATTTGAAATGGAGAACAATTTTGTAATGGGAAGATGTTTTGAAACTCTCAAACATAATTTGAAACGTGAACAAAAAGAAAATAAAAAGAGAAGAAAAAGGAATTGAAAGATGAAATAAAGAAACAGAAAAGCAAAGAAAGAAAAAGAAAAAACAGGAAAAACAACAAAGAAAAAGCAAACAGAAAAAACCAGTGAAAACCCGGTTCAAGAACCTTCTAGGAGGTTCCCAAAACCGTTCAGGAACCCTCCAGAAGGTTCTCAAAACCGGAAGCTGTAGCGCCAGCGCTATCTCCAGTGGGCCGGCCCATCTTGATCGCTAGTCGCTCGCCTCTCTGTGCGAAGCCTCGACAACTCGACGCAGCGAGCGTCCGTTAGGAAATTCTCGATCAACGCACTGCGCCGTAGAAGTGGGGGTGGGCCGGAGAAGTTTAGCAGCTGTGGGCCAAATCTTGATATGGACGCAAATACAAGCGAAACAGAAGGCCCACGAGAGTTCCTCCTCGTCTCGTTGACCCCTGGCCTCTCTCTCCAACTGCCTTATCCATCCCGAGTCTCTCCATCCCCGCCGAAGCGATCGCCGAGTGTTCGACGAGTGCCTGAGCGGAGTTCATCGCCGCAAGCATAAAGCTACCCACCTCGCGGAGTTCGTTCCCCGGCGCGTCGACGCTGGAAGGTATGCGCCTAATTCCGCTCCCCTCTTCAATTCTGTAGGCGAAACACCCAGCGTTCCAGCGTCTGATCGACGCCCTCGGCGTGTTCGGCAGAATGCCAGTCCGGGAGCTTCATCTTGTTTGGACCTTTGAACGACTAGTTTGAAGAATTCATCGCATGTGAGATGGAAAGAATCAGGATCGGGAATTCGGGATGATATTTTTGCGTGTAAAATTTCCTGCGTTTTGGGGATCTTATGCTGTTCTCTATGGTTTACAGGAGTTTGCTCTTCTCATTTCTCAGTACTGAAGATTGGCCCATCGGCTCATCTTGATACATATGGAGCGGGATCACTCGGCTTTGAAGAAAATGAGATTGGACGACACAGAAGATTCTGCGATCAGTCAAGTGCCTGCCATGGCGTCTAGTATGAATCAGCAACTGTTCTGGAGCCAGTGGCAGCTACTGGATTCCATTCTCCCCACAGGCGGTTTCGCACACTCCTACGGCCTGGAAGCAGCTATGCAATCGCGCATAGTGAACAACCAAGAAGACCTGAGGCTGTTCCTCATCCAGGTCGTGGACAACATTGGAAGCCTGCTGCTTCCATTTGTGTACTGCGCCAGTAGGTCTCCTGACGTCGCGGCATGGGTCAAGCTAGATCAGCTGCTGGACGCTACATTGACGAACGAGGTCGGCAGGAAGGCATCCACATCCCAAGGCTCGGCTCTGTTGAGGGTGGCCGCGTCTGTCTTCACTGAGATCCAGTCGCTGCAGGATCTCCGACGGACATTTCTCGGTTCCACGAGCGTGTCCTTTCACCATGCCCCGATATTCGGGTTGATATGTGGGCTGGTTGGATTTGATAGCGAGACAACGCAACGCGCTTACATGTTTGTGGCAATGAGGGATGTGATCTCTGCCGCGACGAGGCTCAATTTGATCGGACCGCTAGCTGCTTCGGTTCTGCAGCACCAGGTTGCGCCAGATGCCGAGAAGATGCTGCAAAAGTGGAGGGACCGTGATGTCTCTGAAGCATCACAGACTGCGCCGCTGCTTGACGCATTGCAAGGCTGCCATGCTTACATGTTCTCTAGGCTGTTTTGCTCCTAATAGTGAGGTTCACTTCCATATCTTCCCATCTCTTTTGTTGTACAATGTCTCCAAGCATACACAACAGAGGGCTCAACTTCATGATACCTGTACCATGTGTGCTTTTGTATTATTCTGATGTATTGAAACATATCTCCTTATCTCCTGGGAAAATAAGTTAACTGGTTCATAGAGAGATGTATGTTACTCTGTATAAAGCATCTTTTGTAACATGGCATATGGTTGATCGATGGTTTTGTGCACTGCAATTGAACATTCACTTGAGCGTTCTCCTAACAAGGACATGATAAGCAATTGAGCAGTTTATTCAATTATCCTGTAACAAGGAGATGTTTAAATAGATCAGACATTTCCCAGGTCCATTTTGTGGACAGCATGATGCACGATACACCCAGTTATATGTCTGGATAACCTTATTCTGATATTCCTCTGCTTCTTTCAGGTTGCTGAATGCAATTTGGTGTAGTTCTGCTCATGGTTTTACCTCAGAGAAGTACAGGACCCCTGGCTTTACTAAACAACAATGGCATCAGAAGATTACAAGCATCCTGAGGAAAGATGCCCAGTATAATTCTTTATTTTACTTGCAAGCAAGATTGTACAAAAATGCCAATAGTACATTATGTTCATGTGAGCCCTCTCTACCATCTCTTACACTCATGATACATATGATACATCTGTCTTCAGCTTCACCAGTTATAACATTGATCTAATTATGCATCGCATATTACAAACATTGTTTTCTTTTGCTCCATGATACAAAGTCCTGGATCTGTTGCTCCAGCTCCAGATTCTATCCTAAATGCAACAGCAGAATGCTTGGCTTCAAGGGATTTCTGGTACTCAATAGATCTGAACAGCTCAGAGAAGTTGCCCTTGCCAATCCTGCCTCAGCCACTCTTCTGGTACTCTTACCCGGTCCCGTCCTTCCCCATGCACCTGATCCTTTGGATCATCTCCATAGAGTAGCTGATGCAGTTAGATTTGGAATCACATAGAGTAGATAAAAGATAGCAAGGATGCAATCTGAAGTCAGTAGGGCACTGAACCTCAAGTTACTGAATTATGGCATAAATACTAGCACTATCTTCTGAATCGATTTTTTTCAAATTACTGTGTATGGCTCTATGCTAAAATACAGTACACCATGCCACGAATTGTGAAGTTGGATACGTGGCCCTATGCAAGCAGCTTTATTCCCCTTTAAAGCTCACGATTTTCATAAAGATGCATCATGCATGGATGCACTAAAAAGAGTTTCAGTTGGATTCACGGCATTCAGTATAACCAAGGTTTGATACCTTTATGCACCATACAGATGCACCATGTGATGTAGAACTCAAAATAAGTTCTTCTCTTATTTTACTTGCAAGCAAGATTGTACAGCAATGCCAACAGTACATTTTGTTCATGTGTGAGCCCTTCTTCCATCTGTTACACTGATGATATATAGGATACGCATGTCTTCAGCTTCGCTAATTATAACACGGATATAATTGCCCGTCGCATATCACAAACAACATTGTTTTCTTTTGCTCCATGAGACCATGATACAAAGTACTGGATCAGCTTCTCCAGCTCCAGCTTCTATCCTATGATCCCTGATCTGCAGCAGATTGCTTGGCTTCAAGGGACTTCTCATAATCCTCAATGGACTTGAACAGCTCAGAGAAGTTCCCTTTGCAGAACCCGCCACAGCCACCCTTCTGGTACTCTTCCTCTCGTCCTTCTCCATGCACCCGATCCTTTGGATCATCTCATATTACAGAGAACATTGTTCTCTTTTGCTCCACAACACAAAGTACTAGATAAGTTGCTTGAGCTCCAGATTCTATCCTGTGATGCAGCAACGGATTGCTTGGCTTCAAGGGATTTTTCATGCTCCTCAATAGATCTGAACCGCTCGGAGAAGATGCCCTTGCTAAACCCGCCGCAGCCACCATTCTGATACTCTTGCCCAATCTCGCCCTTCTCCATGCACCCGATCCTTTGATCATCTCCAAGAATCAGGTTGGCCTGAACATAGTAGATAAAGATTTGGAATCACAGAGAGTAGATAAAGTTAGCGAAGATGCTGCCTGAAGTCAGGTGGGCACTGAACCTCAAGCTACTGAACGATGAAATACTAGTACTATCTATCGAACCCAAACTTATTTAGATAACTGTCTATGATAATATGTTGTGCACCATGCAACGAATTGTGAAGTTGTCAGGATCTATATTCCCCTTAAAAGTTGTCAGGAACTCAGGATCTTTATAAAGATGCATCATGCGTGGATGCACCAAAAAAAGTTTCAGTTGGATTCATGGCATTCACTGCCATATGGCTCGTGTGCCAAAACCAAGGTTTGATACCTTTACGCACCATACACATGCAACATGTGGTTTAGAACTCAAAACCAATTCTTCTTATTTTACTTCCAAGCAAGATTGTAGAACAGTGCCAACAGTACATTTTGTTGATGTGTGAGCCCCCTCTTCCATCTGTTACACTCATGATAAATAGGATACATATGTCTTCAGCTTCACCAACTATAACATTGATATAATTGCGCGTCGCATATCACAAGCAAGACTGTTTTCTTTTGTTCCATGAGACCATGATACACAGTACTGGATTAGTTCTCCAGCTCCAGCTTCTATCCTATGATCCCTGAACTGCAGCAGATTGCTTGGCTTCAAGGGACTTCTCGTAATCCTCTATGGATTTGAACAGCTCAGAGAAGTTGCCTTTGCCGAGCCGTCCACAGCCACCCTTCTGGTACTCTTCCCCTCTCTCGTCCTTCTCCATGCACCCGATCCTTTGGATCATCTCCAGGAACAACGTTGGCCTGAACATAATAGTTGATGCAGTTAGATTTGGAATCACGGGGAGTAGAGCAAAGAAGCAGCTTGAATTTATAATCCAGGTCTTGGAGAACATTGTAAGCCTGCTGCTTCTATTTGTGTACTGCGCCAGTAGATCTCCTGATGCCGCGGCGTGGATCAGGCTAGATCAGCTGCTGGATGCTATGTTGACAAACGAGGTAGGCAGGAAGGCGTTCACGTCGCAAGGCTCGGCTCTGTTGAGGGTGGCTGCGTCCGTCTTCACTGAGATCCAGTCGCTGCAGGATCTCCGAAGGACATTTCTCTGTTCCACGAACGTGTCGTTTCACCATGCACCGACGTTCGGGTTGATATGCGGGCTGGTTGGATTTGACAGTGAGACAACACCCAGGGCTTACATGTTTGTGACAATGAGGGATGTGATCTCCTTGGCGACGATGTTCAATTTGATCGGACCGCTTGCTGCTTTGGTGCTGCAGCACCAGGTTACGCCAGATGCTGAGAAGAAGCTGCAGAAGTGGAGGGACCGTGATGTCTCTGAAGCATCACAGACTGCGTCGCTGTTTGACACGTTGCAGGGCTGCCATGGTCTAGGCTGTTTTGCTCCTGACAATGAGTTTCGCTTCCATATATTTCCGTCTCTCATGTTGTACAATGTCTTCAAGCATACACAACAGAGGGCTCAAATTCATGGTACATGTATAATTCATGCCTTCATATTATTCTGATGTAGGATGCCATTGAAACACATCTCCTTATTTTCTGAAAAAAATCAGTTAACGGGTTCATAGAGAGATACATGTTACTTTGTATAAAGCATCTTTTATAACATGGCATATGATTGATCGATGACTTTGTGCATTGCAATTGAACATTCACATGATTGATGTCTCCTACAGTAACAGGGACATGATGAGCAATTAAGCAGTTGATTCCTGTAACAAGGAGATGTTAAAATAGATCAGAGATTTCACTGGTCCATTTTGTTTAGATGACCTTGTTATGTTTTTTCTCTGCTTCTTTCAGGTTGCTGAATGTAATTTGGTGTACTTCTGCTCACAGTTTTACCCCGGAGAGTAGAGAACTACTGGCTTTTCCTAAAGAAAAATGGCATCAGAAGATTGCAAGCACCCCGAGCACAGATGCCCAGTATGATTCTATATTTGCAGGCAAGATTGTACAACAATGTCAATAGCCCAATAGTAATTATGTTCATGTGTGAGCCCTCTGTACCATCTATTACACTCATCATACATAGGATACATCTATCTTTAGCTTCACCAAATACAACAATTATAATTCTGTGTCCCATATTATGTTCATGTGTGAATGCTTTCTTAGCATAGCATACACTCACTGTAACAAATGTAAGACATTCTGGCAGTTTAAATACATTTGTTTACAAAGGAAGTAGATCTCAACAGCTCGGAGAAGTTGACCTTGCCAAACCCACCGCAGCTACCATTCTGGTACTCTTGCCCAGTCTCGTCCTCCATGGACCTGATCCTTTGGATCTCTCCAAGAACAAGGTTGGCCTGAACATAATATAATAGCTGATGCAGTTAGATTTGGATCACAGAGACTAGATAAACATAGCAAAGATGCTGTCCTAAGTCAGTAGGGCACTGAACCTCAAGTTACTGAATTATAGCATAAATACTAGTAGTACTATCTGCTGAACCAAAATAAAGTTGGATTCTTTGGCCTTTTACTATTCAAGGAGCTTTATTCCCATTAAGTTGTCACAATCTTCATAAAGATGCATCATGACCTTCACTATCATATGGCTCGTATGACCAAAACCAAGATTTGATACCTTACGCACGCACCGTGTGATGCAGAACTCAAAATCGGTTCTTCTTTATTTTACTTGCAAGCAAGATTATACAACAATGCCAACAGTACATTTTGTTCATGTGTGAGCCGAGCCCCCTCTACCATCTATTACACCCATCATACATAGGATACATCTGTCTTCAGCTTCACCAATTATAACATCGGACATAATTGCGCGCCGCATCTTACAAACAACATCATTTTCTTTTGCTCCATGAGACCTGATACAAAGTACTGGATCAGCTCCTCCAGCTCCAGCTTCTATCCTATGATCCCTGAACTGCAGCAGATTGCTTGGCTTCAAGGGACTTCTCGTAATCTTCAATGGACTTGAACAGCTCGGAGAAGTTGCCTTTGCCGAACCCGCCGCAGCCACCCTTCTGGTACTCTTCCCCTCTCTCGTCCTTCTCCATGCACCCGATCCTCTGGATCATCTCCAGGAACAACGTCGGCCTGAACATAATAGCTGATGCAGTTAGATTTGGAACCACAGGGAGCAGAGAAAAGATGCAGCTAGAATGTATTAGAGCACTGAACCTCACATTACTGAATTAGCATAACTGATACTACCTCCTGAACCTAATCTTGTGCAGATAGCTGCCTATGCTAATCTATGGCCTAAATTGGGAATATACGTTGGTTTTCCACTATGCACAGGGAGCTTTATTCCCCCTTTTTGGTTTGAACAAGATTTTATTCCCCTTTTAGTTCTCGCAATCTTCATAAAGGTGCATCATGCATGGAGTTCAACTCTGTGTTCTAACGGTAACATTTGATACTTTTGTGCAGCATTACACGTGCACCATGTAATTTAGAACCCAAAGTCAAAGTGGAAAAAGGTTGTGTTTTTACCTGTCCCCTACTGGCTTGGTGAAGATTTGTAGCAACACCCCTTGGTCGTCCCTGTCGACGAGCACCCCCAGCTCCTGGCATTCCTTGATCTGCGCCTCCGAGAGCACATCCCCGGCGATGCGTCGCACGCCTTCGTAGTACTTCGGCAGCGGGGGTGGCAGGAAGTCGAAGCCGCCCATGGCGGAGCGCGCACGCATCTCCCTGAGCGTCCTGAGCACGTCGCTGCTGGCCACCGCGATGTGCTGCACGCCCGAGCCGCCGTGGTGTTCCAGGAACGTCTGTATCTGGCTCCGGCGCTTGGTGCCGTGCACCGGCTCGTTGAGCGGCAGCAGCACGCCCTCCGAGTTGTTGGCGAGCACCATCGAGTTGAGCCCGCTCTCGGCCGTGCCCACGTCCTCCGTCGTGAACTCGGCGAACTCGTGGAACCCCGTGAACCCGGCGACGTAGGCCGCGGCGGGGGCAAGCTCCGGGACGTTGCCGACGACGTGGTCGAACCGCGTCAGGCCGTAGTCCACGGCGTCTGGGTTGCTCACGCCCTCGAACCCCGGCAAGAAGGGCACGTCCGTGCCGTCCGGGTGGCTGACGAAGCGGAGCACGACGTCGCCGTAGAGCTCGACCTCCGCGAAGCCGAAGCCGCGGCCGAGGTCCACAGGGCTGAAGGCCGGGCGCGCGCCCCCGTCGACGCTGGCGCGGAAGGCCTCGGCGGCGTCCGCGACGCGCAGCGCTATGGAGCGCACCGCGAGGCCGTGGTCCGCGGAGAACTGGCGCGCGGCGTCGGCGGAGAAGGAGGGCAGGGAGGCGGTGGCGGCGTCGCAGCCGTTGGCGTAGGGGGCCGTGAAGAGGAAGGCGAGGTTGCCCGAGCGGAGCAGCTGGGAGGCGTGCACGGAGTTCCCCGTGGAGAGGTCGGACCTGGCGGCGAGCGGCGCGCCGAGCGCGAAGGCGAAGCGGCCGCCGGCGGAGGCGGCGTCCGCGCACCAGAACTCGACGTGGTGGAAGGCGAGCGTGTGGAAGCGGTCGCTGCGCGGGTTGAAGCGGACCATTCGGCGCGGCCGCGCGTGCTCCGGCGTCACCGCGGCGGCGCCGGTGGCTGCGGGGGTGGTGGGGGTGGGCGGCATGGTGTGTGTTCGCTTCTTGGCTGCGTGTGGTAGTGGCTCCGGGTTATCAGTTACGGGAGAAGTGGGGGTAATAAAGGGAGCAGATGACGCCACGTGGGCCTTGGGGTTTAGTGGTGGCGGGTGGGATTTGTCTTTTGGCGTTTGGTGGTGTGGGGGCTCGAGCTAGTGTGATGGGTTTGCTGACTGGCCCAGGGTAAGGTACATCCAAGTACAGCTAGAAATATTATTATTGCAAAAAAAAAAGTTCAGCTAAAAATATTGCCAGGTTCATATTCTCTCTAGCTATTAGTAGTGGTCATTTCATCTTTCTTTTTCTCTCCCCTCCCTCCTGATTTTTAGAGTTGATCTTGGTTTTTGTTTCCTCTACTCCTCCGACGGCCTCGTCGGCCGAAGTTGGGATAAGAGAGGAGGACGGGTCTCGGGTAGATGTCGCTGAGGCGACTGGTGATATGTTGTGGAGAAGCTTGCCACCGTTGCTCGGGGGCGGCGTGTGGTGGAAGCCCTCATCTTCCTATTTCTTGCCCATGGTGGATGGAAGTTGACGAAGGTGGATCTGGCGACAGTTTCATAATAAGCTCGTTTGGTTTCGGATCTGAAGATCATTGGAGTTGCTTCTTCCTTCTCCCTTTGTTGATGCGGTGGTGGAAAGGGCGAGAAAGTTTGGGGAATTTTTACAGGCATCGGTGCTCACTCGTCATCTTCATTTACCTCTCCATATCGACCTTTGTTGTCGGGGCTGAGGATCAAACAATGGATTTTCTTCAGTGAGCGGTTTGGATGGCTAGGACGGAACACTTGACTTAGGTGGGTTTGTCGACAATCTCTGACGCCCCCTTGTTTAGCCTCCGGAAGGGAGGGCCTTCTTTCATTGCCCTACGATGACATGTTTTGTGTCCGAAGATGGTGGCCAAAGCATCTTCGCGCGAGGTCGCCAGCAGATTGAAGACTCGATGTGTCTTTGTTTTTAATGTAAAATGGGAGGGCTTGCTTGTAATTCCTTTTTTCAGGGTCCTCTTTGCAGTGTTGTGATGCTTTTGTTGTTATAATGCCAGCTCTGGCACCTTCGGGTCCCTTCGCGTGTTCAAAAGAATATTCTCTCTAGTTTTTCCTCTATTTGTCCAAAGGATTTTTCATAGAATAAACAATTACAATTCTTAGGAGTTTTTCATAAGTGCCTTGTTTGATTTGCTATATTCTGATTCATAGAAAACATTGATTAAGATTCATTTGTATTGGATTTCATAGGAAAGTTTCCATCAACTCTAACCTCATGAAAAGAATTCTTTGTTTTTTCATGAACAATCAAACGACCATACAACCCCTCCCCTCCCCCCCCTCACATCCCCTCCCCGAGCTCATCCAACTCTCGTACTGCCTTCTTCCACCAACGCCTCGTACACAAAACACCATGGATTCGTTGCCCTGGGGCTCGAGGTCTTGCTACCAAGCTCTAGCGGAGGCATTGGGTCTACTAGGGAATACTCCCTCCGTCCGAAAAAGTTTGTCCCTCAAATGGATGTATTTAGCATTAAGTTAGTGCTAGATACATCCATTTAAGGAACAAGTTTGGGACAAGTTTTTTCGGACGTAGAAAGTAGGTAACTAATTTATGGAATTTTTTATGTTACTGATGTTTCTATATATATATATATATGTTAAGTAACGTGATTGTATTAAAAAATATAGGTTAAATTAGAAAATATTCTGACTTGCCTTGTACTCTTTGACTCCAAGTAGATCATGTACTCTTATATATATGCCCATGAGGCTCAAGCAATACAACGACTATTTCACCAATCCCTTTCTCCTTCTAACATGGTATCTATCGCAAGTCAATCCTAAACCCTAGCCGCCGTCGCTTCCGCACCCACGCGCCGCCCCTGGGGCGGTCGGCCTCCATGACCGCCGGCGGGGGCCGCGCCACC